TCCCTCCGCCACTCCTGCCCCCCCTGCTGCCCCCCATACCTCTCAGCCCCACCCCCCCCTCGCCCACTCCTGCCCCCCCTCCCCGTCCCCATCGCCTCCGCAACCCGCTCAGCCCGCCGACGGCGCACCTCCGCCCTCCGGTGACGCTAGAACCGAAGCAGCTTCCCCAGCAGGCCCTTCAGACTGAACGCGCCGCCCTTCTCCTCTGCCTCATCCCTATACAGCGGATCACTCTTCCTCCGTCTATTCTCTCGCATGCTGCGTTCGCGCGTCGTGCGCGGCGCGCGCCCGTCTGCGCGGGGTGACAGATGCACGACCATCGGCGGCTCGGTCTTGTCGCGGTGCGTGTGGCGGCGCTTAGAGTGGCGCTCCTTGCGGTCGCGGTCGCGCGAGGACATGGAGATGCCGGAGTCCTTGACGCCCTCCGCCTCCGCGTCGGTGCTGGGCTGCCGGCCGCGGCGCCAGTTTGCCGACGGCTGGCCGGTCACGAACGGCTCCATGTCCGGCAGGCCCATGGTGCGTATCCTGTCCGGCCGCTCGGCCTTGCGCCAGAACGTGCCTTTCGACGCGGGCGCGGGGGCCGGCGCGGGGGTGGGTTTGACGGGCGGCTTGGGTGTGTTGAGGGCCTTTTTCGCGGCGCGGCGGGCCTTGCGTTCCGGGTTGCTGCCGCGTGAGGACTTGTCGGTGCGTTCTGGCTCGGAGGGGGGCTCCGGGTTGGTGTTGGACCTGTGGCGGCGGCGCGGCTTGCTGGGATCGCGGTCGCGGTCGCCGCGGTCGCGTTTGGACTTGGAGCGCTTCGGCGGCGACGCGTCGCGGTCGCGGGAGGGGGAGCGGGCTTCCGAGTTGCGTCGGCCGCGCTCGCGACGGCCCTCGGCGGGGGCAGGCTCGCCGGCGGACTCGTGGCGCCGGTGCTTCCGGTGTTTCTTCTCGCGGGGGGCGTCGCGCGGGGCGTCGGTGTCGACATCGGTGCGCGGCTCGGACGCGCCGTGCATCATCGCCGGCGCGCCGCGGCTGCGGCTGCGACTGTGGTGCTTGCTGCGGTGTCTGCGCGGCTTCTCGCCGCCGGGGGACGACGGGGCGCCTTCGCCGAGGATCTTGGCGGCCTTGCGCGACGAGCGGCGGCGCTCGGGCGGGGGCGCGCCGTCGGGGTCGTAGTAGGCGTCCGGCGCGCCGCCGCCGTTCATCATCGCTGGCGGCGGGCGCGACTTTTCGCGTTTGCTGCGCGACTTGGAGGTGGGGGTCGGCGTTTGGTCGTAGAAGTCGGGCGCGCGGTAGGAGTCGCGGCGGCTGGGCTTGCGCGCGGCCTTTTCCTCCGGCGAGCGGTGCTTCTTGTGTGAGCGCTCGCCGTCGCGGTGGCGGTGGCGCTTCGAGTGTGAGGGCTGCGGCGGGGAGCCGTGGGGGCTCAGGTAGTCGTCGTGCGGCGGCATCTGGTCGTGGTCGAGCGGCATCCCGCCGGGCATCATCGACGTCGGCTGGTGCGGCTGCAGGTGCTCGATGTCGCGGCCGCCGTCGTCGATCGACAGCGCCGACACGGACGAGAAGGACGCCATGACGGCTGGTGGTTCGGGCGGAGGCGAAAAGGTCGTTTCGATCGGTGCTGTTTGTTCGTGCTCTGCGTCTGCGTCTGCGTCTTCGGGTGGTTGGGGAGGGGGAGCGTCGTCGCTCAGCTCAGGAGGAGGAGATGGAGGGGGCTGGGCGTCAGCTTGCTCGATCTGGTCGGGGATCGGCTCGGCGGGAGGGGTCGAGTCGATGACCTCAGACTCAGCGGCTGCGTCAGGCTCGGGCTCTGGCTCTGGGTCAGCTGGCGGTTCGTCGTCCTCTGGCGATGGTTCTTCAGGAGGTTCTTCAGGAGGAGCAGGTTCTTCAGGCTCTGGCTCTGGCTCTGCAGATTCTTCAACGGCTGCCTCCTCTTCGCCAGCGGGTTCGGGCTCGGCTGCAGCCTCTTCTGCAGTAGCGGGATCTGCTGGCTCTGCTGGCTCCTCAGGCGGCGCGTCGTCGGCTGGAACTGGTTCTTCTGGGTCGTCGCCTTCACCGCCTCGCAGATGTAGCTCTTCGTCGTCGTCGGATTCTTCGTCGGATTCTCCGTCTGAGGGCGATGGTTCGTCGTCAGGGGTAGTATCGTCGGCTGGGGGGACGACGGTCGCAGCGTCGCAGTCGTCTTCGTCTGACGGTGGCGCAGCAGCGCTTGCGTCTTCGCCCTCGTCTTCGGTGTCGCCTACGACCGCTTCGGTTGAGTTTCCGCTGTCTTCGGTGTCGGCGGTAGGAGGAGGAGGATCGTCTACAGGCTCTGGCGCAGGCTCTGGTTCAGGTTCAGGTTCAGGGTCGTCGTCGGTCGCAGGAGGGTCGTCGGTCGCAGGAGAATCCTCTTCTTCTGTCGCAGTCGCAGTTTCGTCAGTCACTGGCGCCTCTTCCGTGTCCGGCTGGTCAGGGTCAGGCGAGCACTCTGTGGTACCTCAATGACGACAACACCGTTAGCTGATTGGCGCTCTCTCACACCACAAGTCTCTATGCAAAAAACCACACAGTTCTCTCGCCACACCTTCACCGTTTCGAAACAAAAATAAAAATATAGCGATGCAAGCGAGCACGCGGAAGAAGGCGCAAGGAAGGCGAAAAGAAGCAGAAGCGTTCCGACTCACCCTCGTCGCGGTGCTGCTGAATATCAACACCGCCGACCACGCTCTCGGCGCCATCCGTGTCCGCCACGTCTTCGGGCGCCATCCGTTTGTCGCCGTCGACAGCAGTGTCCTCATCCATTATCGCCTACCGTTTCTCGCAGGGCATCTGATAGCGCTCGTTTGCTCTGGCAGCTGTGTCGGCGTAGGTGTCTCGCCTCGACTGGTGTGTTGCTGCCTGCGGCTCTTGTGAGGTGATGTGTGGGCTCCAGCCGTTCGACGGCGCCGTATTTGTATGGGTGCTCGAGTATTTGTACGAAACCGCCGCCCGCGAGAGCGACGCCAGAGGAGGGGTGCAGCGCCGCTGATTGGACCACGTCGAGGACGAACCACTCGCCGTGACGCACCCCGGGCACGATCGATCGGCGCTCGGGGTCGAGGGCGGGGACGGGGGCGCCAATCGCAGGCGTTTGGCCTGCGGGTCGCCATTCGCTACGGGGTATCGCGGAATCGCGTTCTGCGGTGGACTGCTGCCGGTACTTTGATGGTCACCAACACTGCAGGAGAGAAGTACTTAAACAGCGCCGATTACTTAAGGCGCGGTGGTGCAGTTCTTTGTTTCTCGCGCGGTCCCGACAGAGTGAGTGAGTGAGTGCGGTGGTGAGACTGACGGACAAGCAGCAGGAGGCCAGGATCCCCCGTCCGGCATGGCGGCTGGGACTGTTGACAGCTCATCGACATTAAACAACCCATCGTCGTCACCGCGTCCGCGAAACAAATAGCTCAATCTTCGTGGTGGTGGGCCTCATCTACCACCCTCTCGCCCTCTCGCACCCTCCTCAACTCTCCCCCGCCGCGATCCCCCGACGTCACCCAACCCAACCCATCCAACATGCTGCAGACATGACCCAACCGCAGCAAATCGGGTCGCCGCCCAATCGTCCCCAGGCGCTCGCTCGCTCGTGGGGGAGGAAACAAACTCGCGTGCGGGTCGTGAGGTGCGCCGGGCTAGTTGCGCGCGAGCTGCACGCGAGGCTCTAGCGGTGCAGTGCATATGCGCGTCGACGGTCCGGCGGGAAAAAAGTCATTGGCGCTCACTCGGGGGGCGAGGAGGGGCGGTGGGGGACGGCTGGTAGGGCTGCTGCGGGGAGGACCTGTTGGGGAAGTAGGCACGCCTGGGCTAGACTCAGGCTGGGTGTCCTGTCCAGACGCCCACGAAAAGTCGGTCGTCTCTCGTCAGCCCGCTTACTACGACACCACGCATCGCCATCGACGATTACTGCTTTGCACTGTCGGATTCAAACAATCAGTTGCGGCAGTCATGCTCACCCCGACGACGCCGACCCGACCAGGCCAGCCTGCATTCCGCCAGGGCCGCCGTGGGATAAACAGGTTGCACTTGCATCGGCACTTCCCTCGTTCCTGGGACCTGGGCACTACCGACCTCCGGCGCCGCGCCGAATAGCGCCGCCGCGGCCTGCACCGCTAATTGGACGACGCCCTAGCCGCATTCGCCGGCCTCAGGGCTCAGGGCTTCGTCTGCTTCCACCTCACCACCCTGCCACGATGCCGGTGCCACGATGCCACGACGATTCTGAGGATCAGCTGCCCATCGATGTGCGCTGGAGTCACGACGGGATGGACTTGGACACCACCAGAAATACCCGATTCGACGAGCACCCGGACAGGGCCGCTACCCGCCGCGGGAAGAGTGTACATCATCCATGCTATCGTCCATTGTCTTACCGAGAAAAGGAGGATCTGACGTGTCTAGCCATTTCGTGACGCCGGAGAACCGCCGCCGTGGCTCTGGGGTGCTCGGTGCTGGGGTGGTGGAGATTGTCGTCGTCGTGTGATGGATACGATGCTGCTGAGGTAGGATTTGCTGAGGCGGTTAGACGACGGTAGACGACGGTTGGAATCGTTAGTTTCGGATCGAGGGTGCGGTTTACAGAGGCAAGCAGGCAAGCCTTCTGCGCTGCGGTCCCTGGGGGAAGGCTGGAACTAGGGATGTCGATGCACTGATGACGGTCCCTGTGGCTTTGTTGAGTTGTTAGAGATGACAATGGTCGTGTTCGTTGTAGGGTTAAGTGTACGGGATGAAAGGAGAAGAGCAGAAACGGGGGAGATGAGAGAGAGAGAGAGACCGGAGCCTACATGACCAAAACCGAACCATCGATGATGCAAAATTGCTCACATGAACTGATATTACAGTTCTAGATTCACCTAATTTTTTCCTACGGGAAGCAAATCTGAACGCTATATTCCTAGATTCGAATCAACCTTCTAAACGCTTACGGGAAGGCATCCGTTGAATTTCTGTTCTTCTTCGGCACTGGTACCCAGCCCTGTCGGATAGCCGTCCTGGAGCTCAGCATATATCAAGATTCAGTAGTGTAGGGGTATCATGGGCGCTTGCCATCATCACTGACAGCATCTTGCGCCCGACCCGGGTTCAAATCCCGGCTGAATCAAATGCACGACCAGAGGTGCAGCACCTCTGATCGTGCGTGGTCCGACTTCCACGTTTCCATTGTTTTTTTCCCTGGTGGACAGGAGAGCTGTTGGATTGGATAGGGGAAGCAGGCGGGAACCGGTTCTCAGCTCAAATCACGATCTCGGCATTGTTCGCGTCGCCATCGTGTATCATCGTTTAACCCGAATAAACGGCACGACCGGGTCGGTGCATGTCCGCCTGTCTGTCTGCAGACATGCGAGCTCTTTGATATCTGGGATAAATGCGGAGAAGTTTAGTTCACCGGATTGGGAGTGGTAACATTCTGTAGTTGGCTTTGTGATGATGTTGCTAACGGATAGCCCAGAGAAGATAGTTGCCTCTATCGACGACGTGGAAAGTGTGATGACTGTCCTGGGGGTTCTAACTGGCGTGGCATCGTGGTGGCGATAGTAGGCTTTGAGAGTGACGGTGAAATATAGGGTGTGAAAGAGGAAAATATGGGAAACCATGATCGGCGGCTTTGGAATTGGAATGCATGATTTCAGCGGCTGCGGGGGCCGATGGGGGGCTGCGGTAGCGGCAGGAATAGCAGTGAATTCTTTTATCCCAAGCGTTTTCCAGCACTTCTTGTTCATCAACACTCAATGAGATATCTCATACCCTGAATTGTCGATTGAACGCGCCCTTGAAATCAACAAGAGACGTTGTATGAAATTTCTCCAATGGAAAAGAATCAAGATGAAGACAGTTTCTATGGAAGGTATGATGCAAGATGTTGCTTTCTGTTTGATTGATAGGAATAATGGGCTTGTACCCAGTGCTGATTTCGCGCATTTATATCCTCTCGCGTTCATTACCCCTGCTGCTTCCGATGCTGGCACTGCCGCCGACCCATTGAGAGGTTCGACATTGGCCAGGCGCCGCCACTATGATCAGGCGCCAGTATGGCCAACCGCAGTCAAACATAAACGATGAAAACAGCTGATCAGCCTCGGTTTTCATGAGTATGTAGGTAGAATCATGAATTGTGTACGGCTAAGTAGATCATAACTACGTATCCAGAACACAAAAGACGTGTGCTTTTACATTAACCCTTTGTATTTTTGCCGACCAAACTAAATGGTACAGTATTGGGTGTATCAGGTAGAAAAGTACCACTGAACTCTGCGCTCTAAACACATACCCACCCGCCTTTGGAGGAAGGCCTTGCGCAGGACCATTCCATAACTTAGCGGCTCCCCATGTCCCCCAGCCCCCACGCCACCCACTTCTCCCTCTCCTCCCTATCCCGCAGCCCCCGTTTCTTCCCCATCTTCCTCGCCGCCTCTCCAGCGCGGAGCACCAGCGTCTCCTCCATCTCCGCCGCGCTGCCCACCAACAACACACACATCAGCTTCGCGGACTCTTCATTCAATGTGAAGGGGGGGTCTCTTACGACTCCTCAAAACTTCTGCCGCGAGCCGCAGGGCCGGCCAGTCGCTCCTTGAGGCGCACGCCGAGGTTCTTGACGCGGTTGCGCAGCGGGCAGAGCCAGTACGCGGGGTGGCGGCAATCGCGGCCGAGCTGCACGAAGAAGATGCCGGGCGTGCTGTGGAAGCGGCGGCAGTTGTGGAGGCGGTCGCGGTCCTCGGTGTCGGGAGAGCACATCGTGGGGGGTGCGCTCTTGCGACGAAGTTGCGGAAGTTGGGTGTGGGAGACCGAACTGGTGGAAGGTGGTGGTGGTGGTGGGGAGAAGTGGGTCGAGGAATGGGAGGAGGATCCGTATTTAAGCAGGATTGAATGTGTATGTCACTTTTCTAATACTAGGGACTGGGGCAAACCAAGGTTGGTGCACTATGTGGAATGCAGATTTCTTGATACATATGTCGCAACATGCACGCGCTTGTGAGGCACAGCCTGCTCGGGATAGCTCAGAAAGCTTCAACAGAGGTTACATAATACAGTTATTTCTTCATGGCTTGGCTGCTGAGCGTCATGATACACGGAGGTCAGATCTGATTATCGTGGATTGTGGCTTGCGAGCCGAAAGCCCAGACAGAAAAGCGAAACAAAGTAGATTTAAATGAGGGTAAGAAAGAGCCCAGTGCACACCCTCCTTCACAACACTCACTCGTCAAGAATCCAGGTTAAATCGATCAATTTAGTTATACCATCATGCCTGTAATCCAGCTACCCGAGCATTCCCATAGCAACAGCAAAAGCCCTTCCCAGCAAATCAAGTTCCGGAAATTACTGCTCCAGTATAGCCCACTTCCCTAGTACTGCCACCCTTCTTCCTCCTCCTTCTCCCCCTTCTCCTCCTTCGGCCAGTATTTATCCATGAACTCCCTGAACACGCGGACGAGATAGAAGCAGAACGCTACGAGCAGTAGCAGGCTGATGATACTGAGAATAAGGGTACAGTCGCGGTTGCAGACAGCCATTGTAAGCGCGTGACGATCGGTATGTAGTTAGTGGGTCGTAGTTCGTCGGTAGGTGGGAAGATGCTGAGACGTCGAGGTGGAGGATGGCGAAGTGAGGGACGAGGCCTGGATTGCAACTGGAATGCGGCTGGGGGTGGAATCCGGCCGAATTGGGGCGGGCGAACGCAGCCTACGGTAACTCGAGCAGGGCTCTGTTTTCATTCGCCGCTTCGCACAGTGCGTGATCACTCGTTGTCCTCGTGTCTAGTATTCCGTTGCACGAGTCACGACGACTAATCAACGCGTTCTAGACTACTGTAACGAGAGTGATGGTTCTATGATCGAGTGTCCGCCGGCTGACAAATAGCGGGGTGTAGATACCATAAGTTTATCTATTGCAGTTTGTCAGTGCCAGCCTTTAAAGTCGCTGTCTCTTAGTAGAAGCGCGCCGTGCAGTTTCATCTCAAGCGATTCTACAAAACTTGGTTTCTAGTAGGTCCTTAAGTTATCCTTTGGCAGATACAAGCTTCAAAATTTATACACGCCAGTGCAACACACTAACTTGAACACATAGGCTCACTGGTATAGCTACTTATTTGGCCGTTTCCGCGTAGAGAACGTGCGTATCTTTAAAACTTGCAGATCTCCGTTGACACAAGACAACGACAGAGTGGTGGCGGAAAAGACTGACTGAAGAAGTACTCACAGCTTGATGGAGTAGTGCACCACGACAATAGATCCTTTGGAGTCGTATGGGAGCAGAGTTTACAGGGAAACCATATTCTCTGGAAACGAGTCTTACGCTGCCGAACCTCGACTGTGCTGCATGCGACAAAAATAGTCCAAACACTCGGAACTCGTCTGGAAGGTGGACAAAGTGGAGTCATTTCTTCGAGGCATAGCTGGTATGTCATCGCGGTCCACCCAAAGCCTTCCACATTGTCAGAGACTTTCGGCTTCGACGGCAACAACAAGATCTATACTTAATGTGAAAGAATTGGTTAGCAGATCAGAAAAACAACCATAGAATAGGTACACAATACACCATCGTGAGTTGCTACCTTCCAATACGTGCCAAATTTAGTATACCTATGAAGTACACGATTGTCCAAGATGAGATGATATATTGTTTTAGAGGGTGATGGACGGCAATCTAGATTGCAATGATGCATGAGTCGAAATCAAAATGCTTGGAGAAAAGAGACCCCTAATTAAAGTTGAACCCTAACCTGGCACTCGACCAAGAATTTTGCGCGAATGTTATTAGATACAAAAATGTAGCTAGAACCATGAGACGAACCGTGAACCAGTCAATGATACAAGTTATACATGTAGAATACACGATATCAGGTCTGAAGAAACTTCTTCTGAGGCTCACGTGACCGGGACAAGTAAACACCGTCGTTCTAAATTTGTATCAAATGAGTTTTAAACACGTACTTCTCGTATATTGGAATTGAGTATCTGAATTCAATAGAGATGATGTATTATTTCAATATCCCTCGGGTCAGATATTTCTGTTGTGGACTGTCAGCCCCGAGTGACAATTCTACGGTGCACATCTTACTTAAGACCAAACATTCAAATGAGCAACTCATCAGCTTCCCACCACCTCAAACTACTCGTGAAAGAACCTGACGCCAAAATACACATAACCCGACCCCCGTTTCGCCCCCCAAGACCGAACAACACCAACAACCATCTACCAACCACACACCACGTACACAATGGCTATCTGTGGCAAAGACTGCGCGATCTTGTCAGGAGTACTGGGATTCCTGCTTCTTGTCGGGTTGTGCTTCTACTTGGTCGGCGCCTTGAGGAACTGGGTCGACCAATACCATGAACACAACCCAAACAGCTACACTTTGAACGAGGATACTGATGACCTAGACGAGGAGCTAGATGGGGTGGAGGACTGGTGGTAGACGATATGCATGCTGTACAAGAATAATCGTGCCTTTTGTTTGGTATATGGTTGAAATAGATGCTAGGTTTTCTTAGTCGGTCGTGTGATTTGGGAGCGTGGATTTTTCAGGATCTGGTTCGTGATGCTGGGATTGGAGACTTGGTACGAAGCCTATCACTTCTATGCGCTTGCTTCTATTCTAGGATTGTTTTCACTGACACTCCTAAATTAGCCAATCGTCTATGAACTTGCGTAACGATTTGCTCGGTATCAAAAATAATACTGCTACTAGTACTTTCAACACATGTCATGTCATTACTGTTTCATCTTAAAAAAAGGAGGAATACAAGCAGTCTTCCGTGTGTACCTAGGATACAAAGACCGTTAAAATCTCTACAATAAATCAACTTAGACAGTCCGGGAGCACCGTCCGAGTTTCACTACAGGTGCACCAAAATCATGCAAACATCGAATCCCAAGCCCTAAAAGCAGCATGGCAAGTGCCAACCTACAAAAAAGCATTCAAACAGTACTCACGAGGGAAACCCGACTATCCTCCGTCAAGACCAAAAAAGTCGAAGCCCGAAGAACCAGAAAACGGCAATCGATATCGTTTACTTTGCCACAGGATCAATTCATCTTCCATATCCTTCTTTCTAAGAAGAGCTAATACTCTCCTCGAACCCGCTCCAACTTGAACAAGCA